TGAGCCAAATCCTGGCCCACTGATATCTTATTTTTAATGTAACAGCCAAAATGTTATTTTAACATGTGAATAATTTTAAAATTTTGAGGGAATTTGTATGTTTTCGTACTATGTCTCTAAAATCCAATGTCTTTTATGGTCTGTTCTATACTTTTATTTATATTAAGTTACCACATCATTTTGTGAAGGGTTTTATTACATTTTATTGTATGTCTGAACTGACTTTCTTTTGTTATTAGGAACAGTTGACAGTAGATAACCTTATATGTATTTGTGTAAGTATAAGATGCTTTGATTCTAAAAGCTTTCCTACAAGTGTCCTGCATAAATGTAATTTTATACCCATTACTGTTGAGTCTGCCTTTTGGTGGTCTATCACTAATTATAGGGAGATAGGATAAGACTAAGAAAAAAATCTATCCATTTAGGGTATCTTGGCTTTGCTTCATGAAACTTAAAAAAATAGAAAAGCCATCTTGACTCTTGGCTACACCTCCACTAGAAGACTATGGGCCAGACTTCCCCTCCCCTGCATTCTCTGTGATCCTATAGCTGACGTCTGTTGTTCCAGTCAGTCTGTCTCCCATTTTGTGCTGCTAAGGACTAAACCCAGGCTCTTTTACATGTTAGGCCAGCACTGTCCTCATGCTGGATTTATGTTTCCACTTTTCATGTTGAAACAACTTCACTTTTACAAGCAGAGTTGCAAAAAGATTATAAAGAATTCCAGTATGCTCTTGCCCGGTTCCTTAACTGTACTACCATCTAGAACCACGGTGCAGTTACCAAAGCAGAAGTTGCCCGTACCAACCTGAGTATCTGATCTGTCAGCCTTATTCAGATCTCACCCACTGCCCCATTCTTAATCCTATTTAGGTTCAGAATCAAAGGTCACAGGTTGGGAATCATTTTAAAGTGCATTTCTCCCTCACTAATCCTCTAGCCCATCTGTAAGTTCCAGCAGCCATTTCTTCAAATTACTTTAATTCATGCATTCCTCACCCTGCTGGGGTACTACAGAATTTTTATTTTAGCTCTTGATAGATGTGAATGGTATCTTGTGATTGATTAATTCATAGCACTGGGGATTGAACCCAGGGCCCCAATACGTGGTAGGTAAGTGCTCTGCAACTTAACTATATCCTCATCTATCTTTAAGACGGTGTCTTAGTAGGTTGCCTATGCTGGCACACAACTTGCAATCATCCTGCCTCAGCCTCCCAAGTTACTGGGGCTATAGTTTTGCATCACTGCACCTGGTTTGTTTTATATGCATTTCTCTTATGGCTAAAAATGAACATCTCTTCATGTTATTACCGTCTGTGCAGCTTCAGTGAAACGTCTGTACATCTTTAGCTTGCTTTGTATGTAATTGTGTTGTTTCACCTTTACTGTGGATCTTAAGACTTCATTATGTATTTGAGATATAAGGTATTTGTCATGTAAATATTTTGTCTCATCTTTTCAACTTTTCACAGACCTTTTGGATAGCAAAAGATTTTGAGTAGGTCCAGTTTTCTTTTTTTTTTTTTTTTTTTTTTTTAAGTACTCAACCCTTCTGGGCTAAAGACTTTCTCATTTTCTTTTGTAAAGAGATTTTAATAGTCAGATGCTTAAAGCAATAATAAATTTATGGATTATTTTTGTATAATATGCACTGTTAGATCTTTTTGGTTTTGGTTTTTAGCCTACAGATACCCAGTAATTCCAGTACTATTACTTAACAACTCTCCTTGCTCCACTGAATTAATTTTTCACTCTTCATGAAAAATCAGTCAGTGGTATTTGTGCAGGGCTACTTTATTTTGTCACTTAATCTCCTTTGGTTACTTAACCATACTAACTACACTTTCACCTTTAAGTTTCCTTTAAAATTTGTAGCATGTATCTTTAGACAACACTTTCATGTAACATCACGTCACACACTTACAATATAAGAATTTTTTAGTAATACCTTTTGGGCGTTCTTCCATTTTTGTCATATCTTTCTACATCTATGATGAATCCCACAATTTATTACTTTTGCTTTAAGTGCTTAATTACCTTTCAAAGAGATTACACAATAACAGCTACTTAACACTATAGTTGCCCTATCTGGTAATCTTTATATACCATTTCCATCTAGTATTGTCTTCCTTCAACAGGAATGGCTTGAAGGAAGATTACATTTAAGTGTTTCCAAGCTCCTAGATTAGGCCAAAGCAGCCTTTAGTACTAATTTTACCCCTCCTCCCCAAAGAGCCAATATCTGAATACTTTGCCCAGTGAGGTTCTCCACTATGGCCAGCGGGAACATGGGGGCAGTGGGCAACTCTAGTGATGGCCTCAGTGGACCTTCCTGGTGGCCCTGTCCCTGACCTTTAGGAGTACGTTCTCAGGCATGCTGTGATCTGATGCTGTTGTCAAACCATTGCCTTTTTTTTTTTTTTTTTTTTTTGTCTTTTTCCTTTTTATCGGTACCGGGGATCAAACTCAGGACTGCCTGCTTGCAAGGCAGGCGCTTATGCCGCTGAGCTAAATCCCCAGCCCCACCATTGTCTTTATGTTTTGTCCAGATGTCAATTGATGAGATCAGGTGTATTCAGGGTAGTATGGCCATAGGCCCAGATGTCAATGGAAATGGGAGAGTAGATATGTCCCTTTATTCCTTCATGGCCAGAGGAAGAAGTAAGTTGATCTTTCAAATTTTTTTAATATTTAAAGAAAGAAACGAATGAGTACTGGAATAGTATATTTAAGAAATATCCTCACAAACGATAAAGCATATAGACTAATTACAATGTTGAGAATTATTTTGTGTGGTAAACTCATAAAAAAATGAGATGTTTGGCAGCACTTTCTGGAACTTAAATTTATGTCAGTACATGTCTAGAGAGCATTTGGGTTACCTGTGTGCTGACAGAGAACAAAATAACCTCAGGTCTCTGGTAGCCATGAGTTCATTTCGAGGACAAAGAAAATCTGCTCAGAGCACTGTTCTAGGTTGGCTTTACATCCCTCTGAACCATCATCACCACCTTTTTTCTCCAGCACACAGTCTGTCTTTACAGAAATCCTGAAAAATAGGTTGAAGGGCAAACTAGAAGTCTCAGGCTATATCCTTTCCTCACTAAGTGGCACTAAGGGTGATAACATTCAAAGATGGTCAGATCAGAACTAATGCGATGGGAAGAGAAAGGACATGGCTGAGATGGAGACTGGTCAAAACAAATAAGTGACATCCATGCTGGAGAATCACAAAGAAAAAAAATTTTCATTACTGTTAGAATGTAACACAAACTTTCAAAACTTGAAGTAAAATCAGAGTCTCTTTATATTTGACTAGACAATAAACATATTACCAAAGACTGATTCATGAAATCTGTTGTGAAACTACCTTTCATTATTTCCTTCTCAAGAGGTACAGGATCAAATGTCAAATACAAATTCTTAAAGAAAAAACATAAGTGACAGCAATGCCCAGTTACTGCAAATCTCACGGTCACTGTGGCCTGCAGCTCTGGAGGACCTACAGATCAGCACTGTATTTTTTGTTTCTTTTTTCAAGGACACCCTGAAACATATTAAAAAAACTGGGGCACAGCATTCTACCAATATAGCTGATTCAAACTCAGGTCTCCAAACCCCATGGATCTTAGGTCTCTCTAGAGAAGGTGTGGATAAGTCTTTCTTTCCACTATTGAACCACAAGTGAAAGGGCAACTAACAGTTTGGCAGCATGGGCATCATCTCCTGAGGGCTGTGAACCCTGTTGGAGTCTTCTTCATAGCCACTCAGGCCAGGCCCAGATGTGGAAACCCCTTCCCTTCAAGAAACACATTGCCTGGACTTTGGGAACAGACCCATGGAGAGGGCAAGAACAGGTTAAGATTTTATTCTCCCAGGAAAAACAAATCTAAAGATTCAATTAACACTTCAAACCAGAGTTTGCTGTCTTTCTCAGCCTTTGAAGCAGTTCCCTTTCTTCTCTTTCCAAAAGCATACATTTGTTTTTCAGATAGTAAAAATCGAGGTGTCTCTGGGTGAAAATATTTACTTCAATACCCATGACTCTGAAGCAACTACAGGTGGCCAGTAGAGCCGTCATCAGCTGGGCAAGCAGGGCAGCTCATGAACAGCCTCCTACAAAGCCTCGCACTTATAGAGAACTCCTGGAGGTCTGGGCTCTGTGCAAAACTGTTCCTTTGCGTAATGTCCTATGTGGAAGAAGTCACTTTTCATTCCCATTTTATAGGTGAGCACACAGGAAATCTAGATGGTTTGTCACTTGCTCACAAATAGCTCTCGTTCATCTTTAAGCACTATAACTGACTGCATTTTCTGCATATTTTGGCTGGAGTCTTAGACCTCTGCATACCAGATAGCAAGGTAGATACTCTGTTCTCTGACTACAGGATGTCCAGTCTCATAAGTCCGGAAATGCCTGCGCTGAAGGCAGATCACAAGGTGAAAACTTTGACATGTAAGGGAATTACGGCGAAGAAGGAACTCGCCCGTGGTCTCATGAAATCAGGATTAAAGCCCACACCGGCCTGGTCTTAGAGCCTATGCCAAAGGGCAGAAGGAATGAAGGGGAAGCAGTGGTGGGCAGGTAGGTGGCCCAAATCCGGCTAGGTCGGCTCTTGGAATGCCTTTCCGCCAGGTCGGATTGCGCGCTAGAAGCAGAGTCACGGCAGGACTGTGACACCTGCACAAAGCCGGTGGGGGTAGCGCAGTGTTAGGGGTCAGGCTCCAGTCCTTCAGTCTATAACCTGGCAGCCACCAAGCCCAACACAGCCGCAAAAGGCAGCATGTTGAGGGGGCTACACAGTAATGGCAGCCGCTCACGACTAACTCCACTCACGATAGCTGGGGCGCGTTCAACCCCTAAAGAACCTGAGGTCTCTTTGGGATCCACAAGACTCAAGTCTTTCGGGTTTTTTCTGGGGGACCCTGGGCGCAGCCATGGCAAGCCGGAAGTAGAGACGTCTGCAGCTACGTATGGGCGGAACCGGAAGTAGCTACACCGGGCGCCGCCATAATGGCTTGAGGCGGAACGGCCTCAACTGCTCTTTGCTTTGCGACAGGAAGAGCGAATCAGTGAGGCCTGGCTGGGCTCCGCCCCGCAACCCAATACCGGAAAAGGCGGATCTGTCCGCCTTGGCCGATTCACTGCGGCACCGGGATGTGAGTAGCAGGAAAGCCAGCCCTACTTGCTGCCGCTGTCTCCTCTTCCCCGTTATCTGCACTTAGCTCGGGACCCCAGGAGGAAGGACTAGCCTCTCAGTTTCCTGGAGTCTCGAGTCTCAGGATTGACACATCCCATCTGCGCATGCCCAGCCCCTGCCCTCAGAGCGTTAGGTCCCCCTCTCTGTTACTTGTGGTGACTGTCACCCAAATTCTGCCCCAGGACCCCAGCCCGATCCCTGACCTTGCCGTCCCTGGGACTCCAGTTTGATATTAGAGCTTCACGTTTCTCCCCTTGGATCGCCAAGTCTTACCTCTTGAATATTCCAAACCTGCTTAGGGCTCCAGACCTCACCTGGAGTGCCCACAGACGTCTTCCTAGCCTCTTCTGAATTTGATCTGAATTCCCAGACCTTGTTCCTGTTCCCCCATACTCCCAAGATCTCACTTGTAGGATTCTCCAGATCGACCCCAGGCTCAGACTTAACCCATGGCTTCCAGGTCATGTCACTACGACCTTTAGTCCCACCCCAGGACCCTTCAAACCACAAGATCCTAGGTCTCATCTCTAGGGCCCATCTTCAGACCCCATCTGTAAAACTCTCTGGTCAAGAGACTCCACCAGAACCCAGGACCCCACCTCTTGGACCTCCACACCTCATTTGTAGAACCACTCCCCAACCCACTTAAATCTCCCAGACTCTCTCCCTAGAGCTCTGGATCTTACTTCTAAGGCCCCAAGTCTTTTATGCATAATCCCCAATAGGATTTGGAGGATTCTGTGAACTCCAACATGATTAGGGCCTGCCTTTATTGAGACCTTGTTATAGAACCTCCATTGTCTCCCCAAAAGCTCTCAATAGTATTCCACAGTTCCCAGGGCTCAGACCTCACCTCTGCCCCTTCTTTATCTCCGTCCCAGAATCCTTAGAATTCCGAGACCTAGCCCCACTGTTTATGATACTCTAGACCTAGATCAGACCTTCCTTTCTTGCCTGTCCTCTGAAATTATCCTCAGCCTACTTTGTCCCACAGGCAGGTGGCTCTGGAGATCACTGCACGCTACTGTGGCCGGGAGCTGGATCAGTATGGCCAGTGTGTGGCAGCAAAGCCAGAGTCATGGCAGCGAGACTGTCACTACCTCAAGATGAGCATTGCGCGGTGCACATCCGCCCAGTGAGTGTGGGCAAGTATGAGACTGATTGGGTAGCGAGGCGGGAAGTGGACAGTGGGGTGGGAGTGGTCCCGTGTCTGAGATGCCCTCTCCCCACAGCCCAATCATCCGCCAGATCCGCCAGGACTGTGCTGAGCCCTTCGAGGCGTTCGAGGAGTGTCTTCGGCGAAACGAGACAGCTGTGGGGAACTGTGCCGAGTACGTGCGCCGATTCCTGCAGTGCGCCGAGCAGGTGCAGCCGCCACACTCACCCACACCTGTGGAGGTAGAGCTCATCTGGGCACCATCCCTTCCCCTTAACAACCTCCTTCACCTCTCTAGCTGCTCATTGAAAAGACTTTCACGCCTTCAGCTCCGCCTTCCCCACCTACCCTCACCATGCATCCAGCCAGAATCCAGGATGTGGTCACCTGTGCCACTCCCCTGCATCCCCTCCTTTAGGCCAGCCACCCTCTCCCCACCCTTGCTCCGCCAGAATGCCTGCCCCAGCCTTCTCCCTAGTTTCTCTGAATCTTTTCTCGCCTCCATCCAGTGGTCTGAAATCTAGTCACATTACACACTGGCTTGCACCTCTCTAGTGGCTTCCATTCACATTGAGAATAAAATCCCAAGCCAGGCATAGTGGCACATGCCTGTAATCATACCACCCGGGAGGCTGAGGCAGGAGGATCATTGTGAGTTTGAGACCAGCCTAGGTTATAAAGTGAACTCAAGGCCAGCCTGAACTGCCTAGCAAGACCTTATCTCAAAAAGGCAAAAAAAAAAAAAAAAAAAAAAAAAAAAAGTAAAATCTCAGATGCTTGGTGAGTTCCCCATTTTTCTTTCCAAAGCTGATCTCATCTACCTCTCTTCCTATGTACTCCCTGGTACTGTTTTTTCAGCTGTACTGACAGAGAGGCTGGGAGCCAGTTGCAAAAAACAAAACACCAAAAAACAAAAAATAAAAAAACTTACTCTTTTAGAAAGATACAGTGTATCTGAGGTAGTAAAACAGAAACACTCCTTTAGCTGTTCACTGCCTCTCCCTCCTTTGGACTGTGAGTAACAAAGGGAACAGCTGTCTTTCATCAGCCCCCTCTGGACCTCTGCCCTGGGCCCTGTCTCTGTCCCTGCCAACCTGCCTTCTCCTGTACCAGACCAGGCTTCTTCCTGGTCTCCATGCTCTATCTTATCCTTTTTAGGCTTTTTACCTGTGACAGTCCCAGAAAGACTGGGAAAGAAATCTGGCCATGTTCTGCTTCTACTTAGAAATCTTTCCAAAGCTGTCACTTCCACCAGGCCGGCTCTCAGTGCAGCCCACCTGGAGCTGCAGTGACTTCTGCCCCCAGCTCGCCTCGCTGACCCCCTCAAGCTCCACGTTCCTGCCCCAGTGAGTGTATGCTATGCACTCGCTGTCCAACTGTTCCCCTCTGCGTGGGCTGCCCTTCCTGCATGGCTTGTCCATCTGCTAGCTGATTCTTATTGCAGCTTACATGCTCCTTCTCCCAGAAACCCTCTCCTACCACCCTGGCCCTGCTCCCAGGCTCCCAAGGTCAATGAGCTCCAACCATGACCCACATTCTTTTGCTGTGCAAGTATCTCCTGCTTTAGGGGAGTTGTTGGCTAAAGATTGAAGCATTGCCTCTCTAGTCAGGCCCAGTCATCTCCACTTCTTTTTTAGATGGAGATGAGTTCAGGCTAGTCAGCTACATTTTTAATTCTCCCCAGAAAACATTCAGTAATGGTCACATATTACCCCTACTAGCTTCTGGCCATCTGTTAGGAATTCTTGCTTTCCTTTTTTCTTTGTCTTTCTCTCCCCCCCTTTTTTTTTCCCCACTCTTTTTTTTTCCCCAAAAAAGAGCTGGCCTTGAACTCACTATATAGCCCAGGGAGGCTTCAAACTCACGGCAATCCTCCTGTCTCAGCCTCCCAATGGATTACAAGCATACACCACTGCACCGGGTTTCCTTTCTCCTCCCCACCCCACAGAGTCTCGCTTTGTAGTTCAGACTGGTCTTGAATCACTGTGTAGTTCAGGATGACCTGGAACTTGTGGCGATCCTCCTGTCTGGCTTCCTGAGTAGGCATTGAAGGGCTGTGCCCCTGTGCCCAGACTCCTTTCTATTTTTACTGTACTGAGGATTGAATCGGGGCCTCATTCTACCACTTACCTACATCTCCAGCCTTTACAAAAAATTTTTTAAAAAATTTTTTGAGAAAGGGTCTCTCTAAGTTGTCGGGGCTAGCTTGGAACTTGAAGTCCTCCTGCCTCAGCCTCCCCAGTTGCTGGAATTCCAGGCATGCACCAACATACCCAGCAGGAACCTTTCTTCTTAGTGTTTTGGCATCTGAACAGTAAAGGCTCCTCCCTCCCATTTGAAGGCCCATTGCGCCTTCCAGCTTCTCTGTGGTCTCCCTGGGGCCACCCTACTGCCATAGTTTCTTTTCCTTGGCAGCCAAATAAACTTTTAAAAATGGAAATTAGGCCACATGCTTGCCTTTTAAAGCCTCTTGGCTCCCCAGCGCACTCCTCTTGGTGGCCTGCGCCTTCCTGGTAAGGGCACCCCAGTTAGGGCTTTGCCTCCCTCCGCAGGGCTCCGGAATTCAGCCTCCTTTGTTCTGCTGCAGTCTGTCCTGCAGCAGACACACAGACACGCTCATCTCCTGCACCAGGACATCAAGGGCTTTGGAGCATCTCATAGCCATGTAGCTGACAGTTTAGAGCTACGTGTTCCCGCACACACACCTCTGCGCTCCACCTTAGTAAGCACTGCAGGGACTTTCTCGCCGTGGACATATTTTTGTTCATTTGCTGTGGTCCTCCCTGCTTGAATGTGAGCCCCTACAAGTCTGAGGTTTTTGCCTGCTTAGCCTCCAATCCCTGTAACCATGCTGGGTTCACGCAGGGCCTTGGTGGAGGGTACTTGTTTGCATGGCAGATGGCAAGGTCATCACCTGACACCTTGACATTGGGGAGGCCTCCACCACGTCTGCAGAATCGCCCCCACGGTGGCCCAGACAGGCACGGCAGAGGTGCCAGAAGGTGTTGATGTGTTTTCTCCACAGACTCAGCCACTTCCTGCCTCCTGAGGACTCCTTTGGCTTCAGGAAGACTGGACACAAGGGACTGGCCTCTTGAACCCCTCACCTCCTGCAGAGTGACCATGTTTTGAGTCCTGAGGGCCTGCACTGTGGGCCTGGCTTCCCTGGACCTCAGGATAAATAAAGACTACGCCCTGGGCTGTGGTTCCTGCCCTTAGCCCCTCAGCAGAAAGCCTGGTCTTCTGTCCCCCAGCTGCAGGTGAACCTAAGAAGGGCCAGGGAGGGGGCGAGATGTGCAGTCCGTTCTCCGGGGTTAACTGAACTGCTGCCTTGCGAGTGCTGCCAGACAGCCTCTCCTATCTTGCTGCCTGCAAGAAAGCACCTTTTCCCTCCCCTTCTGGCATTCACCAAATCTCTTTCTCACGTTGGTTTGAGGCTTGGGGAGGGAGCAGTGTGTAACATGCTTCTTTCCCCAATGAATTCAGGAGTTGAGCAAAAGATAACAGGCTTTGGGCAATGGAGATGAAACACCGGCCTTACTGACGCCTGCATGGAAGACTGTGTGTTACACTGGCTTCTCTTCGGTCTTGGTTTGCCTAGCCCTAGAAGCCAAGCCTGAGAATTTGAGTGTAGACAGTATATTTACAGACTGAGTCCAGAAACACTGGTGGGGAGAGGGAAAGGAGGGCAGAGGAAGCAGCCAACGAAGGGGGCGTTTTCAAGCTGGCTGCCGCTCTGAGATGTGGACCCATTTCACAGGAGCCCCCTGAGAGGCCGCGTGCAGCTGACCTGAGTTACCCCATTAAGTGGCAAGGAGATTGCAGTGTGTGTTCACCAGCTCCCCATCTGTCACTGGGGGCTGTAGTCACGGGCCTTGACCCTGTTGGTGCCCCTGCCTGCCCTGTGGGACCAGGTATGCTCCTGCCATCAGAAGCAGTAAGTGAGATGATCAAGTGAGCACCTTAGCATACAGGAGAGGTGCTGATGGCTCTGGGCACGTGGCTGGGTCTGAGCATTTCTCCCTGGTAAGGGGGGTGGGCATAACAGGTATGGAGCTCCCCAACCCTCGGCCAGTGTGCTGACCAGTGAAAAGCCCTGATATCCTGAGCTTAATTACAGAGGGCCAGAGGAAGCAGTGGGGACAAACAGTGGGGAGCTTTATCAGTAACGAGCTGCCAGCCAATGAGAATGGAAGGTGGTGTCTCCTTCTGGAATGTTTTAAAACCTGAAGTCAGTTTGCCTTGCAGCAGACACCAGAGCCACTGTCCAGACTTCCCCATTGTAGGACCCATTGAGAAGTAGCAGTTCCTTTGTTGTGTGGCCTGTCCTGCTGGCTCAAAGCTTCCCTCCGTCCTCCCTTTGTGCTGTTCCACTCCTCCGAACTATATGGCAGTGTGGGTGACCCTGTTTACTTCCCCAGGGTTTATGAAAAGTGCTGCCTAGCCCTGCTGTTGGTCATTGTGGGAACATGTTCTGCCCAGAACCTGGGCCTCTCTCTTTCTGGCCAACATCTGTAAGGGGCCAACAGACCCTTTTATTTCAGAGATTCCTTGGTCTGCAGACCAAGGTTCCAATTCCTGGTTTAACTATGTGCTTGCCTGTATCCAGATTTAGTATTCAGACAAGTTGCTTCTCCCCAGGGCTGACTTCACCTCTGGAAATTGGTGTAACTTGCCCTCTGAAACTAAGACTGCTCTGGCTTGGAAAGATGAAGTGGCCCATTGCAGTCTTTCCTGGGGATTAACCTTGCAGAGGAAGTTGCTTGTTGGTTTAGGAACCTGAGTGGGTAACCCATACAGTTGGGATTGCGGGAGCCAGCAGATGCCAGCAGCAGAGACAGAGGAAAGCCAGGTCACGGACTGTGATCAGTGTCTGTGGTTCTGGAAGTGCTAACCCTGGGAGCTTCCTGCTGCCAGCTGTGGGTTTAGCCTGCAGGTGTCTGAGGCAGTTTTCAGCCCCGCCTACTTGGTTTGAGCAAGCTTGAGCAGGATTCTGCTCTGTGCAGTATAGAAGAAGTCTAATGAGAACATATGAAATGGAAATCCAAACTGCATTTAAAAGTTAGAGTATCTCCTGGCGTTTTCTAGACCAGCCTCCTTGTAGGGTCTCTGGGGTTCAAGCTTTCAAAGGTAGCACTTTTACAACATCGTATTGGTCAACGCAGTCACAAAGCCCCCCACACTGAGGGAGTAGAGACCCCTCTTGCTAACATTTGGTTACAAAGAATTTATGTCCATATTTAACACAAGAACTTGAGAGTTTCTATTTCTTGTTTTGCTAAGCTGTATTTTTTCTAGAATTTCTCACATTTTCAGATTGCCATAAATTTGTTCGTAATAAATGCCATATCTTACGGTCTCCCGAATCTGTAGTAAGAGCCCCTTGGCTGTTTCTGACATTGGTTATTTTTACTTTCCTCCTTTTTTTGTTCTTGGTCAACTTGGATAAGAGTTTTTTAATTTTATGATTCTTCTCACAGAATTAACTTTTGGCTTTGTTGATGCTACCTTGTGCATTTGAACACAATATCTCATTTATTTTTTTTAATGTTCTACTTTCGACCTTTTTGAAATACGTAGCTCGCTAGTTTTCAGCATTTTTCTAATATGTGCACTAAAATTTATCTCAAAGCATAGCTTTCTATTTTGACTATTAATCTCAGATTATTTAGAACTTTAGAGTTATATTTCTTAATTCCTAAACATATGGGCATTTTCTAATTATTTTGCCTAATTGGGAACAGATTTTATATGATCTCAATCTTTTGAGGCTTTGTGGCTCGGCATATGCTCGGTGCCTGTTAATGTGCCATGTATGCTTGAATCATAACCCTTAGCTCAGGACTGCTCGTCTCAGCTTGGGAACTGGGAGATGATCCCAGGACGCATGGGCAGGACAGTGGGGGGTGAGAGGGAAGAGGATGCAGCATATGAAGAGTCCATCTGCAGGTGGGTCACCATCGTGGGCAGCAGCCTAGTTCTCTAGGGAACTCTGGAAGCAGCGGAGAGTGTGGGATGGGGTGAGGGTACTTAACACACTCATCACCGACACTCACTGGTTGGGGGCTCCCCGAAGACTGGGTGTTTATTCCTTGCCATGTCCTGCTTGCCACACACACAGGCAGAGGGGCTCTGGTGGAGAGAGAGCTTCCTGCATGAGCAGCTGCCTTCCTTCCTGTCACTTGCTGGCTTCCCTTCACCACTGCCTCAGCCGCCATCCCTCACCCTGTCATAGCTGCCCTCAGTGGCAGCCACCGTCCTCCTCACCACCTTTTCCTGCCTGGCACAGCTGCCACCCATCCCTCCTTTGCACAGTAGCCACTGTTGGCAGAGGAGTGGACATCACGGAGGGGCTCTTTCCACCCCGGTGCCCTGCATGCTGTAACGGGGCATTTTGTGCCTGCTGTGGAACAGGCTGACCACTGGAAGACATGCATGGTCACTATCATGATTGTATTTCAGTCGGCACTTTATGGCTGATCACCTGGGTACCAGAGCTGTTGAACAACTTCTGACAGAAGTATGAAAGTAGACATCAGATTCTTTCAGGAAATTATAGACTTCAAGGAAAGTAGTTGGCCTCTACCACAAAGTGTGTGGCTTTCTAAAAGTCCTGTTTGCTGGCTTTGGTGTTGCACACCTGTAGTCCCAGCTACCTGAGAAGCTGAGGCAGGAGCATCACAAGTTTGAACCCAACCTGGGCAAATCATCGACTTAGCAAGACGTGTCTCAAAATAAAAAAAGGGCTGGAGAAGTAGCTCACTTACGGAGTACACCTGGGTTCAATCTCCAATACTGCAAAAGCAGATAATTAAATATATTTTTTTAAATGAAAAATCCTACCAGGCATGGTGGCGCGCTCCTGTAATCCCAGCCCTGGGGAGGCTGAGGCAGAAAGATCATTGCAAATTCGAGACCAGCCTGGGCCACAAAATGACCCCAAGGCCAGCCCAAACTGCATAGTGAGGCTGTGTCTCAAAAAGACAAAATAAATAAAAGAATTTCAGATTCAGGCCATATATAGAGCAATTGAATGAAAATCTTTTTGGATGGGACCCATACATTTGTATTTTTAAAAAGTAACAATTTTTAAGTCAAGTTTGCAGCCAAGTGAGAATCACTGTTACGATAGAATTCCTCATTTTTGGTTGACTATGTTTTACATTCACTTGCTTGAAACAAAGATCTTGAAGACTTTTGACCTGTTCTTAAGTGACACATAGAATTAGCTTCTTGGAAGCCTATGGATCTCTCTGTGTGTCTGTCTTTCTGTCTTTCTGTTCCTCTATGTTTTTCTCTGTATCTCTCTCTGTGTGTAGCTCTGTTTTTCTATCTCTCTGTATAGCACTCGGTCTCTATCTCTCTGTATAGCACTCGGGTCTCTGTGTCTTTCCCTCTCCCTCTCCCTCCCTCCCCCTCTTCCCCTCCTTCTCCTTTTCCCTCTCCCTCTTTTATGTAAGAATTTACCAGTGAGGTGGTACCATATCAGACAAGGTCGTATCCCAGTAATACAAATCCCTTTCTTCTCTGGTGGGTCGGAACTTACTGACTGCTGCAGAACCTAAGGAGAAGCCTGTGGGAAGCATTAGGAAGCCCCACACAGGCCACACGCACAGGTTCCAGCCCCACTGCCTGAGGCTCCCAGGCCCTGACACCCTGGTGTGAGCCACTGGGGCTGCTCTGACTGGAAGAGTGCCAGCGAAGGTCCTGAGGTGACCCGTATTTCCCTTGAGAGTGACTGAGACAGCAGTGCCAGGTGCTAGTGAGGAGCAGGGGTGCATAGATCAGGAGGATGCAGAGACAGGACCGCTCCCAAGAATTCATGCCCACCTGAGCCCAAGCCCCAGAAAGCCAGGGCCAGGGACGTGCATATAGCCTTGAGCTATGCGGATGAGATACCTATGTGCAAGATGGAAGAATAATGTGAATACAGTAGTATTACTTCAAATGGAAATTACGTTATTTACTTTAAAATGATACTCTCTCTTCTGCTGCCTTTTCATCCTCTCCTTTTCTCTCTCTTCCTCTTCTTTTTTTCAGTTTTCTGAGACAGCATCTGTCTTGTTACTTTTCTCTCACTGCTGGGACAAAACACCTGACAACCAAAACAAAGGAAAGCAAGGTTTATTTAGCTCACTGTTTGTGGAGGTTTTAGTTCATAGTCAGCTGGCTCCAAGGCAGGGTGGCATGGCTGAGGGCAACACTTCAAGGCAGCAGCCAGAAAAAGCAATCA